CGTGTTGCAAGTTTTGTGAGGTGCTTTCGTGATATTTAATGGATCGGATTACATTTTTTATTTTTCTCCGATATCCGATCCAGTAATTTAGGTCAATATCGGACCGATACCGATACGTAATATCGGATCGGTCCATCTCTAGCCTGTAGACATGATAACTTTATACACAGCTAAAATGGGAGTCTGTAGAGACTTGCTCATATTTGGAGCCTGCCTCTAGTGACCATTTAAAGCACTACAGTTTTTTGTCTCTTACCATTTCTGCTTTCTATCTTTTAGCCCTAGATGTTGCAGTCTGTTTTCACTATGCACTGCTGTACAAAATCTTTGTATTTTGCTAGGAAAATATCGTTTGTTCTCTTCTGATGATCCCACACTGCTTAAATAATGTTAAGGTCTGGGCTCTGGGGAGGCCAGTCCATGACTGATAGTGTCACATTGTGTTTTTTCTAAACAGATGTGCTTTTAGTGCATTGGACATTTGACTTCCTGCTCCAAACAATGGCAGAACCTTCACCATCTTTTTCAGATGGCTGTAGACAGTCAATGTTGGATCGTCCTAATTTGTACATATTGACAGCATTTTGAACCAGAATTTTCAAAGTTGGACTCATCAGACGTGCTGCTACTGATTTTCAGTCCAGTTCTTGTGTAATCTGGCGTATCTCAGCCTTTTCCCTTCCTTAAGAATTGCTTCTTGACAGTCATCCTTCCACTGGGACCATTTCTCACGAGCCTTCAGTGAACAGTATTTGAATCAGCTGAAAGTCCAGATACATCTCTCAGGTCCTGTGTCAGGTCTTTGTTGGATTTCTTTCTTTTCCATAAGGATATGACTTTCAGATACTGATCATCTGCTGCTGTAGTTTTTAAAGCCTGCCACTTCTTTTGTCCTCTGCTTATCCAGTTTCCTCAAATTTTTTAAAGGACACATTGCACACCATGCCGAGATATGCCACGTTTTCCAGCTAATAGCTCTTTGGGAATCACACTGTGAAAACTGTGTTATCTTTGTCAGTTTTCATAGATTCAGCTAAAGAAAAGTGACAAATTGATGTCTTTTTGTAACAAGCTGCTAGTTACGAAGTGTCTAAAGATACGGTTTAGAATGAATGCTTTGCTAAGACGCTCTGGTAGGTGTAGACACAACATTGGTTTATTTATCCTTTGAGTCTGGTGCCTTTTTATGCTTGAATGATTCATATGTCAGTGTTAAGTGGCTTAAAAAAACAAGCCAACATTTCTCTGAAAATGATCAGATGCAAGGACTGAAAAGGCCAACATCCAGAGAAAAACTTTAAAAGACCTACAGAGATCCTGGATAGCTGTTGCCTAAGACCACTAAAAAAATTACAATAACATTTGGCTCCTTTGGGTGGGATGTTGGGTTGCGTACTGATGCAGGCACAGATTAGTAATATGGTGAGATGCTACTTAAGTGCATTATAAGATGTCTGGAGCTTTCTCATCAAGGACTAGAGTACAGTACCTCTCAAGGTCTGCAGCATTCAGCTGGCTGTTCTGGGTATTTTGTGCCTGTGAAAGTGAAAGAATAAACAGTCATTAAATCCCTGATCTCCTTTCATTTGGTTCTCAGGTGTACCGAGTGCTGCCACCGTGGTAATAGTAATGTGTATCGCTGCCCTGGTGGTGGTTGTAGTGTTGGGCATTTACCGCATCCACCTGACCCACCAGCAGGAGGTGAAGTTGGCAGATGCGGCTAAAGAGGCAGACGTGACCTGGGACGAGTCTGCTCTGACAATCACAGTGAACCCAATGGAGGTAGGAGGGAGGGAACTTCAGGAATTAAAAGGATGCTGTCAGGGAGGGAGCATAGGAGCTACCCACAGTGGACCGTGTGTAGTGGAATACTATCCCATTTCTATTTAAGGATAGAAACAAAGGATTAATCCTATTGTGCCACTATTGATCCAAATACCAATACCAGCAATAGGTATCAATGTTGTCAATATTTGGATCAATCCGCCCATCTCTAATGTCTCCTTTGTATTAAACCAGTCAAAGGAAGAATTACTAACATTTCTTGTTTCTTGCTTACTGTCTGATGATTAAGTTTGTGAAACTTTGCAAATATTTTTTACCACAGAACTTGGAGGAGCCTCAGGCTGCAGAGGAGGAAGCCAGCGAGGAGGAGGAGGAAGACGAAGAGGAGGAGGGGGAGGAGGAAGACGACGACGAGGACGACATCACCAGCGCTGAGTCAGATGACAGCGAGGAGGAAATAGACGTCCAGCTACCCAGGATGCAACGCTCAACCAAGAAAGGCCAAAATTGGGACAAAACAACAATATCCTATTGAAACATACACACGTACATACACCCTCACACACACACACACACACACACACACACACACACACACACACACACACACACACACACACACACACACACACACACACACACACACA